ATCGGTTTGGCTGTAATTCACGTTGAAAGTTGAAAAAACGTTGAAAAAAGCAGTGTTTTTACATTTCATTGATTTTCTCGGAAACTATAATAGATAGAATGGATCCGAAAGATGCATATGAAAGTTGAATGTTTGGGGAATGTAACGAGTATTCATATATTTTTGTGGTTTCATGGTTTGGCTGTAATTCAGCGTTTAAATGAAGTTGAAAAATACCGCAGAAAAAGCAGTGACTTCTACTTTGATTGATTTTCTCGAAACTAGTAATAATTGATATGAAAAACAGTTTTTTTTTCTGGAATCAATAATGGTCAAAAGATGCATATGAAAGCTGAATTTTGGAGGAATGTAACGAGTATTCATATATTATTGTGGTTTTATCCGGTTTGGCTGTAATTCACGTTGAAAGTTGAAAAAACGTTAGAAAAAAGCAGTGTTTTTACATTTCATTGATTTTCTCGGAAACTATAATAGATAGAATGGATCCGAAAGATGCATATGAAAGTTGAATGTTTGGGGAATGTAACGAGTATTCATATATTATTGTGGATTCATCGATNCATATGAAAGNTGAATGTTTGGGGAATGTAACGAGTATTCATTTATTATTGTGGTTTCATTAGTTTGGCAGTCATTCGCGTTCAAAATCTACCACAATTACAAATGATCAAATTTGAACGTGTGATAAAACTTATTATTATTATTGTTGCACCGTATTTATCTTAATTTGTATGTAAATAATTTGGTAATAATTCTCGTCCGGTTCATGGACCAACCGCGATATAAACACTATCTGCAAACTCTCGTCTTATGCAAACTCATACTGACTTCAAATTCATTTACGCAAATATCTAATGCGTATTTGCCAAACTTTGCTAATTATCCTAAATAACGTATTCGTGCGAAATCGCCATCAAGTTTTAATAATATCTGTAATGTAATTTTAAATATTTTTTATCCACAATTAATTTGTTTAAATTGAGTCACCCATCCGCAACGCGTAATTGCTTAACTATAGTGCATGTTTTTATTGTAATTTAAATTTCTTTAGAAAGAAAATTAATGTACAAATTGATTCAATCTAGTAATTAAAACGTTTTGTTCGAGTAAACAACTTCAAGCATCATAGCCATTATTATAGAATGAACATCTCCGAAGGTTTCATTGCTTAAGCAAAGATAAATGTTGTGTTTACTCTTTGCTTTGACGTGCACACATAAGTAATTAGTTGCATGCATTGACCTTTTTATTTATCTCTGTACAAAAAAAAACAAGTAATTTCTTTTTACTTTTTTTTTGTAGATTTAATGTTCTTCGGACACCGTTGATACCTCAGACAAGATGCTTGGCGACAGCCGTGGTAAGTTAACAAAAATCCTCTATATCCCAATAGAATCAAAGTTAAGTCAGGGTCGGGATTTTTTTTTCACAATTTCCGATTGCGGCAAACGCAGAGCTCACTTACGTAATAAGAGTTATTTATAGAACGGCGCCTGTATAAGGTTCTCCCCAGCGAGGAACGAGTAGGGTAGCTATTTTAAGTTTTTAAAACGAAGGAAGACAAAACAAAATTTCCGTCGCGACGTTCGAGCAGGAATGCGGGAAATTCCGACCCTGATTTACAAGATACTCATGTAGACTTAAGTCTAAAGATTGCAGTTATTTTACGAAGAAAATCAAATGTGTGTGTATTTGTATGTGTATTTGTATTAATAAAACTTTCTAAATCCAATAGGAAACTCTAATATGTAAACGTCATTATCAATAAAGAAACTGTCATTTTTTAGTTTACTAAAGTAATGATTGTCATGTAACCTGAAAATTGACAGTTATAAGATTTCACTTAATTTTTCTTTTAAATAAATGTCAAATGTAAATGTCAATTTACGTGTGTATCGATTTACATGTATATTGAAAATTGTTTTAAATATAATTGTATATTTCAGTAATGTCAAATGTAATTGTCAAAAATCAAACTGTCAATTTTCAATTTACGTCAGTGAAAATTAACAATTGACAAGATTTAATATAATTGTTTTGTGTTAAATAAAATGGTATATTTCAGTTTATGTCAAATGTCATTGTCAAAAATAAGACTGTCAATTTTCACTGACATAAATTGAATTATAAATTATAAGATTTAATACAATTGTTTTGTTTTAAACAAAATGGTATATTTATGTAATGTCAATATCAAATGTCATTGTCAAAAATAAAACTGTCAATTTTCAATTTACGTCAGTGAAAATTGACAATTAACAAGATTTAATACAATTGTTTTGTTTTAAATAAAATGGTTTATTTATGTAATGTCAATGTCAATGTCAAATGTCATTGTCAAAAATAAAACTGTCAATTTTAATCTTAATTGAAAAATAAATGAGTGTATAACAAAATTGAACATTTTGTGAAAGTTAAGCAATAAATTATAACTTAATATAGAGAGATCTTTACATTTTAATTATTTACTCAATAACCGCACATGGTAATTCGATCATTGAAAATGCAAATTGAAGATGAAACTATAATCTTTCTAATAAATTTACTACCAAATTTGTGGTTCACTCCCTTCGTCTGTTATAATCTGTCAAAGTTGAGATTTTCATGTATATTGAACATTGTTATGACATTCATAAGTCTTCAATTATTTTTGTTTTGTTTTAAATAAAATGATATATTTCAGTAATGTCAAATGTCATTGTCAAAAATAAAACTGTCAATTTTCAATTTACGTCAGTGAAAATTGACAATTGACAAGATTTAATTCAATTATTTTGTTTTAAATAAAATGGTATATTTATGTCAAATGTCATTGTCAATTTTAATCTTAATTGAAGAAAAAAATGAGTGTATAACAAAATTGAACATTTTGTGAAAGTTAAGCAATAAATTATAATTTGATATAGAGAGATCTTTACATTTTAATTATTTACTCAATAACAGCACATGGTAATTCGATCATTTAAAATGCAAATTGAAGATGAAACTAGAATCTTTCTAATGAATTTACTACCAAATTTGTGGTTCACCCCCTTCGTCTGTTATAATCTGTCAAAGTTGAGAATTAATATAAAATTGTGTCTTTACCATTTATTTAATAACTCGACAACCGCTAATGCTAATTACATTATTAAAAATGCAAATTAAACATAAAACTAAACCCTTTCCAATAAGTCTACTTCCAACTGTAGATCATCATTATATAAAATCATATTTAAATTCCGGCTGTGTGCCGTGTGCAAACAATCGCAAACATAGTACCAACTTATGTAACCCTAACTGCAACGAACGTTGTCACCAATGGCGACAGACAGATGTCGCTGCCGGTTTCTATTATGCGCTCGGCGATTTTCCGGCTTGGCTCTCGGGAAATGGCAAAAATTATCGAGCGGTTCCGTCGCACATGCGCCTATACACTTCGACTTTCCCGAACCGGCGAGTAGGGAGGTGGAGAGACACAGTCATAAAAATCCAGCGAGTCGAGGCCGGCTGCGAAAAAAAAGTGCGAAAAGTCCATCGGAATTCAACACAACCAGACGTCAGTAGACAGAAGAACCACCCAACCAAAATCCAAAAAAAAAATTCGTAAGATTACTTCAATAAATTCATATATATATATAGAACTATAGATTTATATATATATATAATCGAGAGAAATTGTGAAAAATTCGGCCAGGATGAAGGTTTACAAGGGGTTAATTTTACAACAGATTATTAGAAGTCCCTCTAATCTGAAGAACACACCGATCATCATCGAAGTTTTACTGCATTAAATTTCCCGTGAAACAAACAAAGAAAAAGGTGAACGAACAAACAACAAAAAAAGAAAAGAACACCTGCAGCTGAACAAAGAAGATTTGTAGCTTCAGCAAAGACATTTTCCGTTTTTTCTTTTTCTTTCGTTCCGCACAAAAAAAAGGTGATCGAATCCGCTGCGATTTTGTAGGTTAGGATACGGGGAACTGCTCTCTTGCCACCTCCGAGGATACAATATATATAAACGTAAGTATATGCAATTCTAGTTGTGCGCGCGTACGTCTGTCTATCGGACTGATAAAAAAAAAATATTGAAATAAGGCGTCGATTTGCGTGAATTTTCGTTGCACAAACAAACGAACAAAATCGGTTTACTTAAGTCGCTTCGGATTAAGTCACAAACCGAAGCGACTCGAGCAAACAACGTACACGAGGATGATCCTATATTTTTTTTCTTTTTTTCATTATTTCGTACTGATTTTAATCCCTTTTGTTATCGCACTAAATACACACGGGTAACGCGAAACTCGTGTAAGCATATCGAATATCTATCCTGCATTCCCGTTGTTCACTCAACCAAAGCTATTTTATGCTTTTATTTTACATAACATCGATTCAGTTTCTCAATAAGAGGGAGAGAAAAAGAGAGATAGAGAGAGAGAGAGAAAGAAGTACAATTCACAAACGAGAAAAGTATAAATTGGTTGAAGCTGTGAGGGTAGAAAAATCGTTACAGAACGCCTACGCATTTCCATCTCTTTCGGACTTTCCACGTAATTGATGGACGTAACAAAAAATAATTCATCATGTATTTTTAGATCTCAGCTACAAAACATGATAACGAGAAAATATTTGTTTCAGTCTATTTTTTTTTCTGTCATATCCATAAAGTAAATTATAAAAAAAATATTTTCACTTAAAAAAAATTGTGGACAAATTGGAAAAAAATATGTTGACGTTACGTTACAAATATTAAGTTTTGTATTACCTATCTTCATGATATGTAGTTTTATACCATAAAAACAAACATTATTTGCACATTGTGTAAAAATTTGCAATAATCTGCTTGAAACTTTGACAATAAAAGAAGTTATTTTTAAAAATATGTAAAACAATTTTCCATAAAACCAAGTTTACTTGAATTACATTCACAAGGATTTTTCAATTATGTAAGGTTATGTAATCTACAAAATAATGTACAATTCTACCAATTAGATTTAATCAACTGTTTCACACGTAATACGATTATAAAATAATAATCTTTTATATTATTGTTTTTTTTTAACCATTTTTTCTTGCATTATGTAAGGTTACAATTTAAAACAGTAATAATCGTGTTGTATAATTCAAGTAGGCGACTGTCTACCAATTATTTAATCAACTGTTTTATTTAGCAGACGGAAAGACCGATGACGAGATTGCCGCAATTGATTTGATGCACAAATAAAGAGCGTTTCCATAGTGATTCAAACAACAAAAAAAAAACCTTGGCTTTCTACGATTTGTTGCAAACACGAAAATTCAATTGCTCGAGAGTCCATTAACCTTACCCAAAATCGCCGTGTCTGCATGTGCGAACACGACATTTCCACATACACACCTTGAAATCAATGTAAAATAAAATTGTTCGTTAAAATTGGATGCGAAAAGCATTCCGCTTGCTTTCAATTGTTCTGTTTCCAACAGACAAAGGATATCTCTTCGAATAATGCATTTAGTTGAGGAGAATCGCGTCTCTCTAATTATCCGCTCAATTGCAATAATTCATCTGAGCAGCGCACAAAAGCCCATTGTTAATTGATATTCAGTTGCATTACGTTGCAATAATCGTTATTACTTTGTAATTAAAAGATGTGTAGCATCGTCAACATTTGAATATTTACGTCAAGATTAAAATTCTTGTAATTAACGCATAATAGATAGCGTCACGTGCACATAATTAAGCTAATATATTCCAATTACTCGGTTGTAACTGAATAACCGTATCAATTAACAGCCGGAATATGACTTAATTATCAACAGTTTATTAACCTTTAGAAAAGTCATATTATAATTGGTTTATTCACCAAAATTGTTAGTGAAAGTCTATATTTTATTCACCTTTTGCTAATTCACTAATGAAAGTGATTTTTTTTAATGACAAATGCAATAAAAATCACTTACGTCATGGATTTGACAAATTAACAAAAAAAAAACGCAATGCAAAGCTTAAATGCAAAAAAAATTAGAATGTTAACGTCAAACTGAAACAAATACTTTTTTTTTAATAAAAATTATAAATTGAAGTAAATTATTCGGTGGCAATCGTAAGCCCGACAACCGAAATCCCGACAGTGTCTTTAATTATTATAAATTTCTAAAATGACATTTTTATGGTAGTCGGGATTTCCATATAGTCGGGATTTTAGATATAGACCCAAATTATTAAATTAGTTTAAATTTAATAAGAAATATGTTTAGAATTGTGGCTTTAAATGATTGTAGCAATTTCATTGGTTGGACACAAAAACCTCGGTTGTTTTATGATTATTATTATTGTTAGGACGTGACGCAAGGCGACGACGCGGTTATTACATCAAATAATTGTTTCGGGAGGTGTGTGAAGCGTCTGAACGAGATGATCCCAACGAACGGCGACAGTGTTCAAGTTCACGTTATCCAGGAAATTGGCGCGAAACATGGGTTTTGATTTGATTTGAGGGTCGCCGCAGTGGGATTTACAAAAACGGACCAATCGCGACGAAGCATTTCGGCGCAAACCAATCGGGTGCAACATAAACGTTAAAATGGCCGGTTCCATGACAACAAAAAGCATATTGGGAACATCCTCAAAATAATATTTTTTTTAAATTAAATATTGCTTTCTTCTACAGAAAATTGTTTTGATTCCATATTTTTTTTTTGTCAATTTTTTATGAATATTAAATTTTATAAATAAATTTTTCTATAATTTAGAACCGTAAATAAATTTTGGAAAAATTTCTTTGAGTCATAATTTTAAGAAAAAACAGATGACGCTTCAGAATCCTTGAGCGTTCCGACAAGTAAACGTAATTCAAGGAATCACCTGCATTAACAATTTCTAGAAAGGAAAAATCTCCTTTTACACAAATCGCACTAGGATTTATCTATGAATAAGGCTCCAAAAAGCATCTCAACGTAAAAATATTATCAATCGTTCAGTACTTACTCATTTATCGAATCAGCATTACGATCTCGAAAATTAAAAAAAAAACGATATCGTAAATAGCTTTTGGAAGGTATCCAGATTGCTCTGCAATATACGAAACGTCACATGAAACAAAAAAAAAAGCTACTAGATTTCATGGATCCACCGTGAACTTGAAATTATGTAAACGTTTACATAATAACTACAATTTTCCTAAAATCTACGTTCGAATTTCGCTTTGGTGCTGTTCCAAGTAGTGCGCTCCATCTATTAATACGTCTTTATTTTTGAATGAATCTTTTTTTTTTTCGCTTTACGTCAAGTGCGTATGCAAATCAGCGTATTTCAAACGTCATTTTTTTTATTCCACAAATTCATTCTAAAATATTGTAAATGCAATCAATTTATGGTTTTTTTTTTTAAATTTGAGATGTAAATTTGCTAATTTTTAATAATATAAAGCAATTTTAATAAATTTTGTCAATTATATCGTGGATTATATTAGGCAACTTTTCTAACATCTGAGGTTTTTAACATTGCAAATCTGTTCATTATGCAATTGTTTCTGGCATTATCGTGACAGGTATGACATTGTCATTGTGTAAGAAACGTCAGTTTTCAAATGCTCGAATTGACAGGTCACCAAGGCAAACGCGATGAGCGGTAGAATTTAAAAAAAAAAGAAGAAGAATTTGTAATTAAATTATTCATGTTTGGGAGGCGCTGGTTTACTGTTTTCGAATGCGTATGCTGACTGTCTGACTGACTATGTTCTCTGTTCTTCTTTCAGATACATTCGCGTCTATAAATATTTCGCGGCGCAGAGAATCGGCGAAACGTTCGGACTTTTCGCACTTGAAGTGTACTATGGTTATTTTGTGCGTCCTTCAGAGGGGTGGTTCTTGTGCGTTGTCGTCGTTGTTGTTGTCCGGTTGTTATCTGGTTACGACCACCATCATAGTCCAGCACGGAGACGACCTTCCGAAGATGCTCTTTTCCTCCACTGGAGATGGTTTCGTTCGATCTAGTGTTGGATACCGCGCGAAGAACGACCCAGGCGACTGACATCGAATTCCCCCCGCTGCGCATCGGCGAAATGTCGTCCTCCTGACCCCGTTATGATGTTTGCCTCCTGCCGGAAGGTCCTGTGAAGAATAAGACAAGTAGAAGAAGCTCGAAAAAGAGCAAATTTGAAAAAGCAAACACCTTCATCGACGTGGGGAAGTTCGAAAAATCAAACGCAAGCAACTAGGAGCGAAAACATTTGAAAGAGAGAAGGTATGAATACGACGACGACGATGACGAAGAGTTGCGTGTCCTCCCTCTTAACGTGGGGGACGGACGAGGCGCGCACTTCAATTGCCACCAATTGGCCTCAATCGCTTTTGATTCGTTTCAATTGAAGAGCGAGCTCGCTTTTCCCTTTTCTACCTCCTACCTCTCTCCATCTCTCCTACACTTACAGCAAAAGCAGAGTACCCGAAAAATTGGGTTACCGGGCGCAAGGGCACGCAACTCTTCCGCCTACTAAAATAATTTTAAAAAAACATCATCTGTATACGTAAAACAATTGCAGATTTTAGCCGGCGCCCGCTGAGAGTACCAGCAGCAACAGCAGCATCATCATCATCACAGTGCGAAGAAGGAGATTCTTCTCGCGGTTCTTTCGTGGACAGACAAAACGTTTTCGGACTCGGTGTTACAGAAACTAACTATACCTGAGAGTATTACAAAAAATTAATACAGGAACAGGAGAAGCAAAGAAAAGAAAAAACTTTGGTGTTTTGGTGTCGTATCTAAATATAATCGGTGTGTTAGTTGTTGTTGTTGTGAGTGTTTACTGAAGAATATTGAAGATGGCATCGTCCCTGGAGAATTTGGCCAACAAGAGGATGGGCTACTCGTCCTTCTCGTTCCGCAGGAATCAGACCTCCGATAGGAAGCTGCCAGAGCAGCAGGCGGAACTAATCAAACACGCAGGTCACATATATATTTATGAATTTAGATAACAAACAAACATTTTGATTTTCTTCGCTGCAATCGCTGTCTTTTTAACAATTATCAATTATCTTTTAAACTGTTTCTCTTTCAATTAAACAGATCAATCTGTCGCCAAGGCGTTCAGCATGCTGATCAACAAAGACGAGGACGACCAGATGGAGATCTGCGGCTACAAGAGGAGCGCCGCGAAGACGGCCTTAACGTACGTCTTCGTCATTTTGACCGCAGGTCTTCTCCGCTTGATATTCCACTGGTGTCCCCATTGGTTCCTCAAAGCCAAATGCAATCCGTGCGACATCACCCAAGCCGACTTCGTCTTAATCACCGTAAGTCGTCCACTCGAAATATAATACCATAATAGAAACTAAACTAATTCGATTCGCAGGAATGGTACAACGATAAGCACAAGATTTTCCACGTGAAACCGCTGACTCTGTTGACGCTGGATAAGATCAAGAAGAAGCAGAAGGACGACGAAAAGTACTGCGATTCCGACGAGGACGTTTCCAACTTTTCCGTGCATTTCGCTGACGGCGTCTTCACCGAAGTCGAGAGTCTGCTGACGTTCACCTGCAAAAAAGTCACGTACATTTGGGATCATTCGAAGCTGGAGTTCATCAAGCTGAAAGGTTTGGATCAGGGCGTCAGCAGCGAAACTCTGCACGGTAACAGGGGATTATCCAAAAGCGAACAGTACATGAGGTATGAAATATATCAATAGCAATAAGAAATAATCAATTGTAATTATTAATATGATGATTTCCAGGCGGATGGTTTACGGGGCGAATGAAATCGTTGTTAAAGAATCGACGATACTGACGCTTCTCTTCTTGGAGGTGCTCAATCCTTTCTACATCTTCCAAATCTTCAGCTTCGTCCTGTGGTTCGCCGACAATTACTACTATTACGCGGCCGCAATCCTCCTGATGTCGGTGTTCGGTATTTCCATGACCGTCATCCAAACGCGCAGGGTAATTGAATCATTTTCGTTAAAATAATTTAAATTCTAATGGTAACAATTTGCAGAACCAAAGGAATTTAAAGTCGACTGTGCACAGCTCGGACGTGGCAACCGTTTTACGGAGGGATCCGAACGATTCAGAGTTTAAGAGTCTTAACGAGACCAAAGTGGAGATCATCTCAACGGAGCTTCTGGTGCCTGGCGATATATTGGAGATACCACAGCACGGCTGCATCATGCAGTGCGACGCTCTCCTCCTCACCGGCAATTGCATTCTGAACGAATCCATGTTGACCGGAGAATCCGTGCCGGTCACGAAGACGCCATTCCCGAACCTCCCGGATGTCTACTACGACGAGAAGGAGCACGCTCGACACACCCTCTTCTGCGGCACCCAAGTCATCCAAACTCGCTACTTTGGAAACGAGAAAGTTTTAGCCGTAGTCCTGAAGACAGGATTTTACACGGCCAAAGGCGGTCTGGTGCGCAGCATCCTGTATCCTCCACCTGTAGATTTCCGATTCGAAAAAGATTCCTACAGATTCGTGGCGCTGCTGGCGATGATCGCAGGATTAGGTTTCATCTACACGATCATCACCAAAGTGCAGCGCGGTGTTCCGATCGGCGATTTGATTCTCGAAGCTTTGGATCTCATCACCATCGTCGTTCCTCCCGCTCTTCCTGCTGCTATGACGGTCGGTCGTTTGTACGCGCAGACAAGATTGCAGAAGAAACAAATCTTCTGCATTTCCCCTAGAAGCATAAACGTTTCTGGAAGCATAGACTGCGTCTGCTTCGATAAGGTGAACTCTCCTTCGCTCGCATCCACCTAAATTCATCTTTTTTTAAATCTAAATGTTTCCTTTGCAGACCGGAACGTTGACCGAAGACGGTTTAGATCTGCATTGCGTTGTGCCAATATCCCAGAGGCAATTCGAGACTGAAGTCAAGGAAGTGGACGCCTTGCCTCGAAACACCTTCGTCTGCGGCCTAGTCTCTTGCCATTCCTTAACTGTAATTGATAAGCAAATTAGCGGAGATCCCTTAGACCTCAAGGTGAGTTGAACGCAACACGTAACGCATAATTGCTTAAAAATTGCCTATATAATCAGTTACAAATAAAAATGATTGATTGTTTCTTCTTAGATGTTTGAGAGTACAAAGTGGTCGATTGAAGATCTGGAGGTGTCTGACAACACGAAATTCAACATGATCTTCCCAACCGTTTTCACGCCTCCGAAAGATGCGGGCGCCGTCGAGGGCGAAGAGATCGGCGTCATTCGCGAATTTCCGTTTAGCAGCAGCGCTCAAAGGATGGGCGTCATCATCAGGAAGCTGAACTCCCAGCACTTCGAGTACTACAGCAAAGGATCCCCGGAGATGATCCTCAACTTTGTCGAGAAGAGCTCAGTTCCCGAAAACTTCTCAGAGGTTGGTTGTTATCCTACTGTTTTATCGCTGGATTAAAAAACAAACAATAACTCGTTATTTGTGTTTAGGTTCTCGAGAAGTACACGCAAGAGGGCTACAGGGTGATTGCTTTAGCTCACAAAGAGCTCAAGTTGACGTACACGAAAGCCCAAAGAGTGCAGAGGGAGACCATCGAGCATGGTATGACCCTTTTGGGGTTGATCGTCCTTGAGAATAGATTGAAGACGGACACCGCGCCGTGCATACAGAATCTGAACGAAGCCCAGATAAGAGTGATCATGGTCACGGGTGATAACATTTTGACTGCCATCAGCGTGGCCAGAGACTGCGGAATTATAAGGCAAGGTCAAAGTGTGATCACGGTAAACTCGGACGGTGGAAATCCTTCGCAAATCTACTACACGCTGACTAACACGAAGAACGGCAAATTAAATGAGGCTAGCCTTCTTTCCAATTCCTCGAGCATCGTCAGTCTCGACACGGTGGAATCGCAGATAGCTGCGAACAATCACAACCAGAATCATCCTCCTCTTCCGTTCAACAACTACCGTTTCGCGATGACCGGTAAAGTTTGGGCGGCGATCCGAGACGAACACCCCGAACTCATCCCCAAACTGGTGACACGCGGTAGTATTTTCGCACGCATGTCTCCTGAACAGAAGCAGCAGCTGGTGCAGGAGCTCCAAGGTTTGGGCTATTACGTAGCGATGTGCGGCGACGGCGCCAACGATTGCGGCGCTTTGAAAGCAGCGCACACGGGTATTTCCTTGAGCGAAGCCGAGTCTTCCGTTGCGAGCCCGTTCACCTCCAAGAACCCCAACATCACGTGCGTCTTGAGCATCGTCAAGGAGGGAAGGGCCGCTCTGGTCACCTCCTTCGGCATCTTCAAGTACATGGCCGCCTATTCGCTCTGCCAATTCATTTCCGTTATGATCCTGTACAGCATCGACTCGAATCTAACGGACATCGAGTTCCTCTACATCGATCTCTTCATCATCTCGATCTTCGCCTTCTTCTTCGGACGAACTGAAGCGTACAAGGGAAAGCTGGTCAAGGAGACGCCTCTAAACAGTCTCATGAGCTTCAGTCCAATCCTCTCGCTCTTCTTGCAGCTCGTTCTGCTCGTCTTCTTCCAGGTGCTCAGTTTCCAGCACCTGGTGAGCACCGACTGGTACGAACCATTCAACGCTACCGCCAAAGAGAACAAAGATTTGGTTGGTTGCGTCGAGAATTACACCATATTCACCATGTCCGGCTTCCAGTACATAATCTTGGCCATCGTCTTCAGCAAGGGCAAACCGTACAGGCAGAGCATCTTCAGTAACTTCGGCTTGATCGGCTCTGCCATCGCTCTGGCTATATTCTCCGTCTATTTGGCATTGGATCCGTGCGAGTTTCTGCGCGAGCAGTTCGAACTTGTCGTCCCCGAAGACTTCAACTTCCGCTTGTACCTGCTTGCCTACGGCGCGATCCACTTTGTCCTCAGCATCTTAATAGAGGTCTTCTTCGTGGAGCACTGCGTCTTCAAGAAGCTACGATACAAGTACCACAACGTGTACAAATCCAAGCGCAAGTTCCTCGCCATCGAGAAGGATCTGAGCGAGGACACCAAATGGCCCACGTTAACATCCAATTACCGATCGGCTGCGAGTCCGTCGACGCCGCTACCCAGCTGCACCGCCGAAATCGTCTTCGAAAACAAGAAATTCGATAAAAACCACGTCCTGAACGGCTTCTACCAGCAGCAAGACACTCCGAGCTCTGCTCCCAACTCCACCAAAAGCACACCCAGTTACAACCCCAACAGGAATAAATTACGCAATTTGGAGAACGGCTTCGACTTCGATCAATTCCAATCGGCTGTAAGCATAATGGCGAGCGACGCCAGTTTCCTCACTGCCGAACAATCCACGCCACAGCACATCGTCATCGATGCCGCCTACCCCAATCACCTGCAGGAATCACCACCAACCTCCAAACGCATCCGCTCCATAAGTTCCAACTCCACCGATCCCACCCTCCTCAACGACGTATACACCATCACCAACGGCGACATTCTCAACGGCCTCAAACCCAACTACGAAATGGCTGAATTCGAGACGAGCTGAAGTTCACTCGCACGCACGCAAATACATATATAGACCGTTAATTTTTTTGTACTTAACAAAACGAGATGAAAAGACGCGGATGAAAATCCTCCTATTTTGGGACCTCTCCTCCTGCACACGCCCGGTGCAGCAACAGTAGTATTAAATATAAATATATATATATAAACATATATTTTTGTAGGAAAAATAATCCTATTTATTATTTATTTTACTTGAATTGATTCTTTTTTTTATATAATATCATATCCACTACATATGAATGACCACATAGGGTGAGAAAAAGTGACTATAAAAAAAAAGTATTCTTGTTGTTTAGGTTTAATTATTTTCTTTACTGAATTGTAGAATTGTAAGGTTTATTGTTCAAGATTATTTTAAGTGAGTGAGTGAGACAGAGACAATTGATTCGTGTCTAGTTTATTTATTATACATAATGTAAATTGTCTAAACTAAAACAAACAAAAAAATATATAAATATATAGTGGGGAATTTTTGAGAAAAAAAAAATTATTGAAAATGGTAAATTTACTTGGAATGCTGGACATTCCAAAAAATTTAAATAAATATATATATATACACACATTAAAAACAATTTTATTTTCCTATAATAATAACAACAATAACCAATATTTGAAGTAAACGAAAAATATTTGTTAATAATATCCATTGAAAACAGCAATTTTCAATTGATATTCAAATGCGAAGTGAACACGTTGGTAACCAAGGTAACCGTACAAACAGACCAATCAGGTGATTCGATTTGAAAAAGGAAGATGGAATCCAAACGCGGTTGTCATGGCAATTGCATCAGATTTGTGAGATCGAAGATGGCCGAGCGAGCATTACGTGATTTGAAAACGCGGAAAGGATGGATGATCGAATTGGGATCAGCCGGTTCGCGTTTGCACATGGTCTATATCTCCTCCACTCCACGCATATCCCGAGGATGGCCGAAGTCCATGTTTGCCACGAGATTAACGAGCATCATCACGACAACCAAGAATGCAACGTGTATAATATGCACATGCATACTGTACTTGTCACGATGATAGATAGAGAAAGAAAGAAAAGAAAGAGAGACGAAGGACAATATACACACCATTCGCACAAACAAACAATTGATTGATTGTCACAAATTGGCAATAAAAACACGAAAATAAAAGAGTGAATAGGAGACTCAAAATAAAAAAAAAAACAAACGCGTTACGCAACCATCGCAAAAAAATTTAAATTATCAAGCAGATCGAGAATAAAGCTAATAAATCTAAAAAAAACACTTCACATTTGCAACCTCATTTTTTTGTTGTTATTTTCAACAACGATTACAACATTTTCAAATGAAATGTTTAACGGATCCGTTAATTTCCAACTAATTCGCATCGTTAAAATCCCATTGAGTTTCTCCGCTAATCGCGTTAACCATTTTGCGGCGAACGCAGAGAGAGAGAGAGAAAGAGGAGTCTTCGAAAACGAGTTTTCTCCACTTCTGAAAACGAAATTCAACCGGTCGATTCCCTTCTTCAGAGCTCACCGAAACCGAATGTGGGGAGGGAAACGAAGGGAGGAAAAGAAGGCGAAGGCTGAGCACGCCCGGGAATATGCAAATAATGCATACACACAACAGCAACAACGACGACACAAACTCAACAGCAGCGTCTCATCAAATAGAGATATGTACGCACGCTATTAGAAACTAGTTAGACCAAATCATCCCTTCGTTATTTTCCATTTCCATTCCAGAACAATTCAACATCTGATATCGTTCTAATTACAAGCGTGTCTACAAATTCAACATACTAAAAACGTCAATTTAAATATAATATATATGTAACTCAAGACCCATAACTCTACCCTGTGGAACTCGAAATGAAAACAATTGCATTTTTTTACAATTGAAACTTGATTAATACGAATAAAAGGAATGATTTGTATTTTTAGGGAGGTAGAGAGGTACGAGGATGATTTAAATTTTGTTTAAATTGATAATTGCGCGATTCGTGCGCGATGCAAAGCGAACAGAGAGAATTGGTTCAGGAAATGGAATCTCGCTTTGATAATAACAACAATGAGAGAGAGATATTTAAATCTATTTACAGTGTGCACATATAACATCGAGAGTACGCCCATAGCAAATATACTGTTTATACAACACTACGCATGTGTTTTATTTGCTAATGGATCTGTGTTAACTAGATGATGTTTTTCTAAATTTCAGATATAGATTAGACTGTAAATACAAAATTAATAGTTCAAAATAATTTGAAACATATATGGAAAGACAAATTGTGTAAAATTTAAATATAAACAAAGGTCAGTTACTTGTGTTTGAGACTTGTCAATTTTGATTGACGGTTTTTACGTCTTTCGTAATATTTTTTGTAGATGGATCATCCAGAAAAATACACTAAATTAAAAAATGTTGAATGATTATAGATATACGTAAATATCTATCAAATATTAAAATAAAGGAAACAATTAAATCAACAATTAATTGTAAATTTACAAAGATTTTTCTACAAAAAACATACAAATGTGTGTGTTTGTATGTGTATGCGGCGCAGATCACGTACACAACACTAAGCGATATAGTAAGTAGTAGAGAAAAAAAAAACGAGCTCTCAGTAGATTCGCACCGAAAACTTGTTTAGCACGCTAAGTCGTAGCCGGTAATTAATATTAATAATGCCGACCGGCTTCTTGTTTTTCCTCCCGTGTATATATATAAATACACGAATGGAAAAATCCTGGCCCGTTTCGTAATCGAAGGTTGAGTCACCACCGTTCCAAGCTAGAAAATGCAGACACGAGATAAAATGAAGAGATGGACAGGAAGAGGGTCGTTTTTTTTTCTAAATAGGTAGATACGATTTCCGGTGATTCCATTATCCTGATTATGCCGATTGTTTTTGAGATTTAGGGTGGATGATATAGGAGATGTAGGCAGGAAGTGTGGATTCCCTTTATTATTTTCGTTTTTGACTAAATACGCAGATACGATTCGTGTACAGATTTCCGGTTTTCGTGAATCATGTGTGTGCGGCGGCGGCGGCGGTGGTCCGGACGATTCGATTGCAACGCGCAGCGCGTGCAAACAACAAAGGACGCAACAGTCTCCTCCGCTCGTCCTGCCCGGCGCAGATGAGCAGAGTACACGTAGTGCAACGCGAGGTGCGGTGTTCACTGTTGTTGTTATTATTGTTGTACACTTATTATTGCGACTGCCGCTGTTGTTGTTTGCTTGTTGCTCCTCAGCGAGAGGGTTTGTTCGTTCGAATCTCGGATGATTGGATCGAAGAAGCTCAGGTGGTCTACTACAACGGAAAGAATAAGAAGTATTATTGGTGCTGGTGTAATGTTGATAGTGTTGATGAAATTGTTAGCAGCAAACGCGCACTGTAGCTGCGCAGCACAAGTACATTACAGGTGCACGAGTCTCATGTGACACGCATTAGGGTCCCGGGTCCGGGGAAGACCTAGACCTCCTCCAGCAGTGTGGAGTGCGACGCGGCGTAGCGACGCTACAGTTTCCTGGTGTGCACAACAACAACAACAACGACAGCACGTAGAAAGCGGTGCCGGAAAACCGGAACGACACTCCCACAATCCAAAGTTTGTCGGTCGGTCGGTCGGTATCGGCACGAGGTGACGGCTGAGGTGGAGGAGGAGGAGAGAGAGGACGAAAACAACACAAAAGAATGGATAGGGCGTGAATCGGGGTTACGTCAGCGCGACAAGCGCACTTGCCATTGGTCGATACGGTATTGTAACACGTGATGTGCGGAGACCGCGACCGGGTTTCATCTGAACTGGTGGAAAAACGCAGCTAGAGAAGCAGCAGCAGCAGCGTCGCTGCCACCGCCGCCGCCGATCCTCCTTCCTCTCTCTGCAACGGACGGACGGACGACGCGCGTGAACCTCGGGACCCAAAAATAAATTTCCTAAAAGTATAAGTACAAATAAAAAAAAGAAACAGACAGTCTCTGATATAGGTGGTGCAGAAAGAGAATACGTACACAAGTTGGTTTGTTTGTTTGTTCGGTTTCTGTCGTTTTTTGAAAAAAAATTGAGTTGACCGCCGCCCGGAGGACGACTCCGGTGGAGGAGAGTGTCGCGGTGGTGCTGTGCTGGTGGTGGCGCGCGCGAGGTCGGAGCTCGTATGGAAACCTCCTAGGAGAAGACGTACCACCTCCTTCCACAGGATTCAATCGCAAAGACGTCGCCAGAAGACGTCATCGTCATCATCATCATCGACCAAACACCAGAATTCGAGTGAGTACACTAAACTACGTAAGAAGACACCTAGTGATCGTCGTTACACGTATCAGGGGAATTCCCCGTTGACAACGACAACGTCTCACTCTCTGTATCCATCTTTCCTTTCCACCAGGTGGAAGGACACCGTCTCCTTTTCCTTCTTCGTTTTTTTTTTGCAATAGTCCTCCACCTTCTCCTCCTCCTCTCTTGGCTTGGCAACGGTGCCGTTGTACGGTCAATGCAGCCAGGTGGCCGGGTTGTACACGCGGTTCCCATTTTTGGGATGGAGGAAAATCGCCCCTATTCCGTCTCTGCGTTAGGTCTATCGCGTGGGTCACGGCCCACGACCGCAGCCGACGGAGCACGAGGTAACACGTGTTTTTGGGGTACATGCACCGTGTGCCACGTGTAGTGGGGCGCGGCGTGTACCCGCGATTTCTTCTTGCACATATAACTCTTCTTCTTATTACTTCTTGTATTTATTGACACCTAATGCTGTTGCTGCTGCTTCTGCTACTGCTTCCAAATATTCCAACCTAGAGATTCGTATTTCATCCAATACAAATCCAATTGGAATCTTCTGAAACGTCACAAATCATCAATTTAAACTAATTTTCTCTACTGCAACCAACAACAAAATTCAACCGTTCAACAACAACAACAACAACAATCGTAAAATTAGAAACATTCAACAAAACCCATTGTGATATTGAAAATCAAATCGATGATTTCACCGCTAACGTTTTTCTTCACTTTTAAACGTCATCCATAGAATAGTTTACGTATGTTGTAACGTACAGTCAGTCAGTCTTAGTCATCACATATTCAATAAAAACTTTAAAATTTTATCAATGTAATAATATTGCAATTTGTAATTTTATATTTCTTTTTAAAATGTAAAGAAATCAATTAAAATCGAAAGAAAACATTGTAAAAGTGATCGTACAGACAATTTATACTTTGCTTTCATTTGCATATAAAGGCTAGGTAAAAAGTGTCTTACTTTTTATAGAAATACGTACGAAAATTTAATTGTTTCAATTTCAACTGTAACACTAATTAATTCCTATCAATTGTAAAGAATCATACGTAAACCGTTTATTTTTTAAACATTAGTTTTCTTTTAAAAAAAAAAGTGTTTAAATTTTTATCAAACAATTACAATTATTCTAAAAAAAACTGTAATTTTAAGCTTAATTTTAAGTCTGTGAAATTGATACTCTTTGAAAATCAAATGTGTCAAAATTTGATAAGCAAATTTAAAAGTATGATGAAACAAACATTATACAAGCACATGTTTTTACCCCTACAATCTCTGCTTTTATCCCAATATTTTAACATTACTCTATCGTTTATAATTTTTTCATAAAATTCATGAAAATGACCAAGATTATATTTGCATATGATTCCTTATTATCCTTTCTTTCATTAACTTATTCAAAATTTATAGTAATTTTTTTAGTTTTCGAAAATGTAACAATACTTTTTGATGATGATCATAGCTTTCATTAACGAATTAAAAAAATCTGAAAAAAATGATTGTACGTGCACTTGATTCCCTATATAATCGCGACATTCCATCACATTTAGTCTAAAGTCCATACATTTCAAGAAATTCACTAAAGAGACATTGAAACATTAATTGTTTCCAATTTGGCAAAACAACAGTTCTTTCTCTTTTTCCTCTCCACTTTTTTTTTGCATAACTCAGATATATAAAGGCCTAGATAAACAGCTCAACACGCGACCTTACTCAACTCCGTGGAGCCGGAGGCGCGATCCAAGCCGCAGCGTGTATACTTACGTACGTACTACACCACCTTATACGTGGCCGAAAAACAAGAAACCGAGCGGCGGCGGCAGCAGCAAAACCATCGACTAAAAAACAACAAAAATAACTGGAAATTTTCGCATTTCATTACATAATAGCTCCTCTAAAAACCCGAGAACCGTAGACACATTTGCACACTTACAAAACACACACACACAAAGTATAAATCGGTATCGGAATTTTAGACTTTGGAAAGTCGATATCTAAATATAATTACCGAACACACACACGCACCTACGAAATAACGAAAACGAAAAAAAAAACAGCAACCTATACGTGTAATAATAATGATCATCGAAAATGTTGCAGCTACTTTTTTTTCTTTTCCTTCATTTTGGCGGACGCGCGCGTTTATTGAGGCCAAAAATGAGCAAAAACCGGTTCGCGAAATAAACAATTATCCGTCGTTATTGCCCAACCCTTCCTTCCTTCCTTTCTTCCTCTTTCTCTCCTTATTTTTAGTTGGATAATCTACACATTAATTAGCAATTACTGCAACCGTGTGCCTCACAGAACGATGATGCACGCCAACTATTGAACAATCGACAATTCAAAACGTTTAAGCTGTTAATTAACTATTCGCAATTTGCTTCATGAAACGTTTCAAAACTATACAAGTGAAAACAATGCCATTCCAAACTTTAATAGACACACTCTCTTTTTTTTTTGTTAAATGTATCTCAATCTGATTATAAAAAAAAATTAAACACTTTCACGATTTTTCTTGCCTATAGTCACACAAAAACAAATGATGTAACAGATACTTAACATTATGTAAACTATCATAGATCTTCGCTCGTCCCTCAAAATCAATATTTTTATCAACGAAAAGAAAACTAGTTTTTTTTTCTTCTTCCACTTTTCTTGGTTTATACAGTTTTCAAAGTTCCATAATTGAACGCAACCACAAAATGATGAAACAGTTGCTTGAAATTGTGCAATCATCACTTCTCACTTCATTCATTATTCTTTTTTTTTTCAATTAATTTTCAACGAACTTAAAAATTTGAAATTTTTGTTTCAAACATGAAATTTTCTCTTATGGTTACAATTTTGATGATCGAATCTTGTTTCTACTTACTAAATTTTATGTACTTTTTATTAAAAATTTTCATTAACAGTTTTTCATTTAAAAAAATTAAATAAAAACAAACATCGCTTGAAAATCAAGTTGTTATCAATGTTTTCAAACAAATTACGCGAAAAATACAAACGTTTAGTTTTCAATTGCTTATTCAAGTTTTAACAATTAGTCTTATTTTAATAGTAACAATATTTCCCGTTGTGAAAAAGAGAGATAAAATTGTGATGAAATTATCAAAGGAAAATAAAGTTTTACCAAAAACAAAAACAAATCCAATAACGCACAACAAAAATTCAGACACAAATTGTGAATCGAAGCAATGGGAAACGGGGCATTCTTTGCAGCGGAAGTGAGATAAATAAAAGTTCGATGCAAGAAGGGAAACAAGCCGAGAATTCCAAATGATTACAGTCAATCGAAATGTGGCGCAAAAACGTAATAATAAATGAATAGAAAGAAAGACACAACACACAAAAAAAAAACGTGATTACGCAATTCCTAATGGGAAATTGATGTTCGCACATCCGCATACAATTCAAAAACAAAAACAAAATATCAAATAAAACGGTACAATGATACGAACAAACTTTTTGTTGTTTTTTTGCCGAACAAAATAAGATTCGGTATTCGAACGAAAACAAATGGAAAAGTTGAAAAACAAACGAAAATAACCAACCAATTTCTAATATCTAACAAATTCCGAAAGCGTTCCCAAAGAGTGCGTTGACTCAAGGAGAGGAAGTCGTGAAGATGGAAAGAAATGTAGTACAAGGGTCTCTGTGTCGTCTCATATTTTTGTTTTGTTTTATACGTGCGGTGTTTTTTTCTCTCTCTCTCTTATTCTTGTTCGTTAAAACTCAGGTCACATGCTTCTAAGGTTTTCTATATATTTTTTCTTTCTTTCTTCGTCGTCGTCGGTTTCTTCTCCTCGTTCATGTTCCGTTGTTTCCCGTTTATTCGTCTTCGTCTTTCAACCTATGTTGGTGGAGGAGGATGAGTTATACGGAAAGATACCGATCTCTCAGAGACCGAAACTACAATTTAGAAATCACGTAAGGGACTTCGGACCCGAGAGACCGAGCAGAGAGAGAGAGGAAAGGCCCATGTTCTGGTTGTAAAGTGCAAGCGCGTGATTAGAATCGCCTCAATTCACCAGCACTTCCGGTCTGCACGACGCGTCAGTTCGTGTCAGTTCTGCGCGCTCAAAACGAAACAGATTTCGGACTATTACAAACAAACGAATAAAAGAAACACACAAAAAAGCGCAACTCTTTGGCGGTGGAGGAGGAGGATCGCATTCACGCGGCACCGCTCTTTTGTTTTTAGAGATTGTTGACCTCCTATGATGGAGTAATTTCAATTTTTACATCTGGATTACGAAACAAGGAAGAGAGAAAAAGGAAATGTCAACAAGTGGAAGAAAAAAATAAAATACGATGATGATGATGACATGAGTTAAAGGAAATATTCACAGGCGAAACAGATGGACGTGAAAACAGTTTTCTGTTACAAAACGAAAAAAAAATCGTGAATCTGCTCCGATTATCGAAAATATCATTACTTGCTGTTGTCCATATATATCTTAATGACTCTTTGTTTCCTCTAATATTTGCATGCAATTTGAAAAAAATATATTCTAATAATTTATTCATAATCATTGCGAGTTTATAAACTGATTCCGCGCATTGAATTAAAGTATCCAACTAGAATGGGCCTTCTTTCTTTCAGGACTCGTCATTTTGCTGTTTGCCCATCGAAACGAACGAGCATATTATTAGTCTGTAAATTGAAACACTACAGCATTATTCATTATTATTATTAAAGATATCATATTAGTATTTTCTCATTGTTGATGATTAGAATGTACGAATTTTGAAATTTATTACACACAATTTACTTAGATATTTAGTGAACTTAATTAAATAATGAAGTATAAACAATGTAATAGGGATGGATCTAAAATTTCAAATCACGAGTTTGTTAATATTCTTAAAGCAATCTATCGAAAATTAAGTTTAAAGGAAAGTCAACTAATAGGAATGTACGGATGCACCTGTGCACTTGGCAGAGGACAGCAGACAGACAGCACACGTTTTAACCACCTGAAGAATGAGAAATAGGTAATATATCCACTTTAATCTTGGTACAATCCCAAGAAACCTAATCCTAGTCTCACAGATTGAGAAATCATGCGATCGATGGAATCGTGTTTTCCGAGCCCAAAACCAATGCAATTAATTGCGTAAACAAGAAACACACGTCTAATGCCGACGCCTTTAGGTGCCTTTTCGTGCGTCCCTAACTAAGAGTAAGGGTAAATACCGCTCGGGACGTAGGACAAAGGAAAGTAAACAAGCTGCTATCAACATGAATGAAACTGGTGAATTTTGAATTAGAAATGTATAGAATTGAAATGTTACTATTTTTTTGCAATAAATTGAAAAATTACAATTTTGTTCTTCTGTTTCGATTTGTAGACGTACAGCAAAATGAGTTTGGACACGCTGCTGGAGGCGGCCAAGTTCATCGAAATGGAGGAGGAGAAAAAGAGGAAGGCGACAACGCAGCCGCCGCCACCTCCACCGCCGCAGACTCGGATCATGCCGACACCGATGCCGCCCACGTTGCCGCTGACGCCGCCGCCACCGCCTCTGCATCAACAGCAGCAGCAGCAGCAACATCAACCACCCCCGCCCGCCGCCCTTGCGATCCAACAAAACAGCTCGGTTTCCGCGCCAGCGCAGCTCCAGCTGATCGCCGCAGCCACCGTCGAACAGCAGCAACATCAGCTGCAGCAGGTGACCTCATCCACGATGGAGGTCGGTGGAGGCGGAGGAGGAGTGCAACCCATCCACGTGCAACCGGTCATCATTCACAACAGCTTCGACATACTCAACACCGTGCTGCTCGACGAGTCGGGAAAACCGAACAGGAAACCGCCGCCGATGGCATTCAGGTCGGGAATGCGCGAGGTGCACAACAAGCTGGAGAAGCACCGACGCGCCCATCTGAAGGAGTGCTTCGACGAACTCAAGAAGCAGCTTCCGGTCACGCAGGAAGTGAAGAAGACGAGCAACCTGAACATCCTGCATTCGGCGATCGACACCATCCAGCTGCTGCAGCGGAAGGAGCGAGAGCACGAGGACGAGATGGAGAGGTTGGCCAAGGAGAAGATCGCCCTTCAGCAGAAACTCGCCAACTTGAAGGTAACAAAAAAAAAAATCAACAAAAATTATACGGAAATAATGTTTAAATAATTGTGCATTATTCTCAGAAGGACTATTCCCTTCACGATGTCGAATTCACGTCGCATCTGCAGGACGCGGAATTGCCGAACACGATACACCTGAACGAGATAGAGATGGTGACCGAAGCGAAGCACATAACGAACGACGTCCACCAGATTACGAAAAGTATTACCTTGCCAGTGAACGCGGCGGCGGTGTCGTCCACCGCGTTGCCCCTGCTTAACGGGACACGGGATTCGCACCCCGCCCACGTCCAGACGACCGCCCTCTCCGTCGTCCCCTTGAGCTACAAGATGAATCAAAGTGTGGTCGTGCAGAAGGTCTTCGTGCCCAAGAGCGTCATGGTCTCCGCCAATCAGCCGATGACCCATTTCATTCCCATGTCGCAACCGCTCGGAGGAAAAGTAATGCCTCTGGTCAACGCTCAGTACGTGGTGAAACCGATGGTCGTCGTGACCACGCCCTCGAGGCCGAGCTAACTAAAGTCCAAACCCCTCCACCACCCCCATCATCTTCCCAAAACAACCGCCCCCCACCTTCTTGTACATTGCATGTATATAATAATAATATAATCCTCCACAACAAAAAAAAAACAATACATGGAAACGACGGCAGAAACCACAATCGATCCGCGCTGGACACAAACTGGATCCAAATTTTTTTTTCTAGTCATAAACACATTTTTTTTTAATTAACTTATTATTATAATATATATAAAGACGACGATGAAACTTACACACGAAACACACACAACAAACACACACATAAAACACGAGAAATGACGAGGAACGAAAAAGCAATAATTTTCTACTAGTAATAATTTTAAAAATTAATAATAAATAGAATCAATCCAGTTTGATCCAAACGCATTTGCAAGGAGAGCAGAAAAACAAAAACAAATTTAAAAAAAAACAGAAAATCATACTTCCGTTTAATCGACAACTTTTCCTTTCTTCTTTAATTAATCAATCAATTAATTACACAGACACACAAAACAGAAACTTATAAATATATATATATATTTGATGATATCAAAAAAAATACGAAAAAAAAAAGCAACAAAAACGAAAGAGAGAAAGCATTATTTATCCAAAACAAAAAAAAAATATAGTATATATATATTTATTAATTACGTAAATAATTATTATTTTTACCATTTAATTATTTCTTTATTGGGAACAACGTGATAGTCTGAATGCAGACACAAAAAAAAAATTAATAAACAAAAAATTATATATGTTATTTAAGGAATCTAAGGTAAAGCAAATATATACACAAAAAAACAAAACAACAATAAATAACATTGAATCGGATCTCTAGATTTAGACGAGTTTACATAATAAGTGAGAGAAGAGGAGATGGCTGGGAGATGCAAAGAGCGGACGCACAACATGATGATGATAACTACTATTAATATTTATTGAAACAAATGAAGAACGACACGCCCATCCATCTCTTCTTTACTTCTTCTCTCTCTCTCTCTTCTACAGAAAACAAAAGAAAAATACGCAAATTTGAAGAATTCTTTCGGTAAAGTGAAAAAAGAAAACTCTTGCAATAATTATTTATTACGTCTCTCCACCGCCCATATTATTATTATTATTATCTGTATGTTATTATTATTATTATTTTTTATTGTACATAAAAAAAAAGTTATATCCATACGCGCACGTTTCTTTTTCTCTTTATTTTTAATATATATATAATATATATTCTGACAAACTGTTTCATTTTTGTTATTTTCTTTTATAATATATACATTATATATTCCCCCCACCTCTTTTATATATATATATACATATGTACTACCCGCTAATTTCATTCTAACTATAATTACGATTATTATTTTTCCCCATTTGTTTTTTTTTGTAAGTAGAAGAGACAAACGAGAATCAACAACAACAAAAAAAATCACTAAAGTGACTTTGTACATATGAAAAGATACTGTAGATTTACTAGAAACGACAAAACAAACAAAAAAAAGGTCTATATATATATATGAAATATATATATATATGTTATATTTTATTTTAAAAATTGTCATATGAGAATCTAAGAAATAAATCTTTGAAAAATTTTGAACAAATTTCATTCCTTTCCTCATCAAGAAAAAAACAACATTACTTTGCAGAGATTATCAAAAGAATTTGAATGAAGAACAAAGATTCATATTAATTGAAGGATCATCAAGGAGTTAAGGGTTTTAGAAAAATGATCATTTGTATCTAAAAGAAAATAAGTATAATTTAATAACTTTTGGTCATAATTTAAGATTAACTAATCGCACAAAACACATAATCTCTGCTTGTGAATTTGTAAAGTTCATCAACGAATTAGATATTTCAGACAAAGAGTTTGAGAACATGCAAATATTATGTCTACAAAAAAAAAAACAATAAAATCATAAATTAAGACAACAAATCATAGCACAAACAGTCGACTTGCACTCATCACTACAAAAAATAAAAGCTAGAGTATTGTCGTCATCATCTGCTTAGATTGGAAACGTAGATGTGTTTTAGCTCCGTTTTGTGTTGGTTCTCAAAGAGGGCGGCCCGATTTTGACCCTCGCCCTTCTTCACCCAATGACCGTAAACGCGGAAAGCGCAACCATCGATCATCTACAAAAAAACAACAACAACCACATCGAGAAATGCTCAAAAATGAAACACAAGAAAATGATTGAATACTTTTCTGAGAACCCGAATCCTGTAAGGATCGACTTTGGCCACGGTCAGACTCAACGGTTCCGGGGTGAATCGCAGCCGGCTGAGCCGCACCATGCATCTTACCACGAGGATGGCCCTCTGGAACTTTTGCCTAGCATCGAATTTCCTTTGTTGCAATTTCTGCAAAAATAAATCCATCCAATTACGCACGGAAAGCAGCAAGCAAGATGATAATCAAACCCATTCTTGTTAAAAAGAAAACGAACACACGATAACCGCAAGCCGCCGTTAATGGTAACAATTAAAGGGAATCGGAGGAAAAGGTGAAAAGCGTTAAAAGGCACAATCTTATTTGACTTTTACCATGGCGATCTCCGAGATTCGGCTGTATCTGCAACTGTTTCTTCGAAGCGAGTGCTTCAGAGGCGCAATGTCTTGGTCCCAAAGTGGCTATAAATACGTTCACAAGTCACATCTCGCGATTATTTATATATAAATGTGTGTGTGTACATACAAACTACTCGAAAGGTATTTAAAACTTACCACGCTCTGGAAGAACGGATGATCGAGAGCGTCGGAGATGGAAATCCTCTTGGAAGGATCCACCACCAGCAACCTTCTGATCAGATCCTTGGGCGGTTCAGTCACATCCGCCCATTCCGGCGACGAAAACGAGTACTTCCCTTCCATGATATTCCGCAGCATAATCATTTGCTTCCGGTTCCAAAATGGAGGACATCCGACCAATCTGCAAACGATCGCTGCAGAAACTCGGACAATTTCAATCGTTTACTCATTACTTACAACGTGTACATGATGACTCCGCACGCCCATCTTAAAGAAACCAATCAATTCTTGTAATTAATTGAAATATTAGCAACTCACATATCGACCTCGGAAGAATAACCGGGAGCATCGTCATACATGTTACATTTCAGCGTTTCCGGCGCCAAATATCCTGGAGTTCCGCATAAATCCTGCAGTTTCTCACCATCGATCAATTTCTTGGCAAATCCGAAATCCGTGATCTTCACATTAAGATTATCATCTAGTAAAATGTTCTCCGGCTTTAAATCGCGATGCACCACGCCTTTGGAATGCACGTATTGCACACCCTCCAAAATCTATTACAAATTAACAATTATCAATTACCATCAATGAACTCAAATTCTATTTTTAATCAACCTGTCTCATTATGTATCTGGTTTTCTTCTCGGAGAGAGTGACGACGTTGGTGAGGTAATCGAACAATTCGCCGTTCTTGCAAATCTCGAACACGAGAAATATGAAGGTGGAGGATTGAAAAACATCTTGCAGTTCGACTGAAAAAATCGAATGAGATTTAGATATTTCAAATCGTTGATGATCACGTATTTACTAATGTACTGATGTCCTGCGACGTGCCTCAAGATTTGCACTTCTTGTATTGTGGCCTCTTGCGCGGACAATCCTCCGCTACCTTCCGCCGATTCATTACTCAAGTCTATAATCTTCGCCGCGTATTCGTATCCGGATTCTTTCTCGATGCATCTTCTCACTGTCGAACTGATCCCTCTGAAACAACATTCAATCAATCGGTTATTTAATAAGAACTAATTTTAAGGATTTAAGTAAATTATGTAAACGCGTCAAATAATTTAGAGTTAAATGTGTCTAGTAAGTCATGATTACAATGAACGTCTGTAATTGGTTGTTATGAACAAATGAAAGCCCTTGACAGTCAAATCAATCCAATTGTTGAGACGCAATTGGTACGTACGTATTTAGCATCTGCGGGTTTTTGAAATGCTCTTGGAATGTTTGTAAAGTGTATTCGTTATAGGTTATGAAGTTACTCAGTCACCTTCCGAGGATCTCCTTCGGCTCGTACTTGGCGTAGAACTCTTTGGCTGCGTCCTTGTCGGGAAGACGATCTTCCTCCTCGTCTTTGGCCATCGATCGACGTGGAACAAAAAAGATAATTAATTAACGAACAACCCAACCAGAGGACGAGCACGAAACGATAAAAATAAATTGGAAAAAAAAATAACACGCGCAGACCGCGGCCAAAACAAGTTTACGCGCATGATGCGCTCAGCCACCGTATTTGCACGCATTGTAATAAAACAAACAAAAACAATGTTTCGTTGCTCTGGTTACCAGACTTCAGATAACTTGATTTTCCATCGAAAGCTGTCAATTTTGGATAAGGAAATAAATGATTGCAAATTTGTTCACCTCTAATAGTACATTACATTTATTTGCTCTGCGAGCGTGAGATAAGATAATATTGTTACATTTAATATTATTTTATAAATATGCTTTTTTAAGGGTGTTCGTTCCATCCACAATTAAAATTATTTCAATCAATTAACAAACAAACTTATTCATTAACGTAATTTGCGACATCTGTTGGTTAATCATTATTTACATACAATTGTATTGTTCTATATTAATGTTCACTCCATGAGTATCTCTTCGAAGCTGTTTTCGCTCTCCAAGAGCTGTCGCAGCTCCGACTCCAGATCGACCTCTTGCGCTTCCGGAGCATCGGGCTCAGGACCGACCACACCCAGAGCCTTCCTCACGCCGGCCACGGGGACGATGTCGCTGGGATTTAACCTCTTCGCGATGTCCGTCAGGTTCTCAGTAATCGTATCGGCGAGAGCGACCTCTTCCTCGCTGGGCCCGGAAAGAGCGGACAGATGCGCCGGAACGGTCTGCGACAAACGCTGATATTGGATCTTGTGCAGCTTATCCAAGAGCGAAGACATGTTGTTCAACTTCTCTTGAAGCTCCGCTTGCTCCTCGACCGACTTGATTTGATCCTTCATCGTGTCCAGGAATTTGACGTCGATGCCCAGATCCGAGAGCGAGCGCAACTCCTGCAGATCCACCTTGACCGCATCCGTGGGTTTCGTTTCGAGTATCGTCTTGACGGCGTCTTCCTCTTCGCGCATTTGCCTTTTATCGTCCAACACCTTGAAATAATAAATTAGAATGATCAAACAAGATCGTAATACAATTGATTGTTATACCTTTTTCGTTTTACTGTGCTCTCCTCCGGTCAACAAATCCAATAGACTGTCGACCATGTAAACTGTGTAATCGCAGTCCCTCGTAAAGTCGAGGATGCTCTCCGCGTATTGCACGGCAGAATCGGATCCGTAAGTCTGATAAACCAGATCGCTCTCCTCTTTCGTGAGATTCGCGAAGGCGGAATCGTAACTGGGAGCGTACGAACCGAACGCCCCGTAATACAGCGGCTTCACCGGTTTCACGATATTCCTCCTGTCCTCTCTGAAGCCTTGAAGTTGTCCAGTACCTTCGGTCACCTTCCCGGTGTGTTGTCCCAGAAGCACCGGTCTCTTCTTCGTACCCGGTATCACCCCATCACCACCAACGAGGATGTTCAGGTGAGTCGTTCCATCCTTATTCTGTCTCAAGAAACCCATGCTCGGTCCACCTCCTTTACGCTCTCCCAATTTAGCTTTCGCCTCTTTAGCAGCTTTCTGCGCGCTCGCCAATACATCTTCAGGCTCCATATCGTCGGGAATAGCTTCGAACTTCGTCGCCGGCATCCTCCGTTTCGACAGCGGCGAAAGGTACTCCTTGTCCGGCACCTTGAATTCCGCTCTGATTTCCGGCAGGATATCGAAACCCAACTCCTTGCTGCTCACCTCCGGCATGAACTGCAGAATCCAGCCGACCTTTTCCGGCAAAGCCAATTTAAGACCTGCGTGCAGCAGCTTTTTGCTGGCCTTGTAGTAAATGGTGTCCGCGTGATTGTATTTCATCGCGTTCGTGCACATCAGCTTGAAGTCCTCCATGAAATCCTGCAGATCCTTGTACTCGTTGTCGTCGATCTTCTGTCGCATCGTGCTCAGATCCATCGGGTTCGTGATGATCGCGCTGTAACCGGGCGCGATGTTATCCGTCACCGGCCACGCGAAGAACTGTTGCGGATCCTTCTTCTCGATGTTCTTGAGGACGTGCTCGAGCATCTTCTGCAGCACCGTCCTCTCCTGTATCTTACGGATCACGCACGTCCTAGGCTCACGGTACGGACTGCCCAGATTCGGCAGCTCCTCATTTTGGCTATCGTTCTCGTCCCTCATCGGCAACGTATCCATCATCTCCACCTCATGCTCGGATTCTTCGCGTTTCCTCTTCTTATCCTTGTGATGATGCTTGTGCTTCTTCTCCCTATCCTTACCCTTATCTTTCTTCTTTTTTTTCTTCTTGCTCTTCTTGTGGTGACTCCTAGAACCTTCTCCGTGCTCACCCACGTAATGTCCACCATATCCGAAATCTACAAACAAATATTCAAACATTAAACAATAAGAAAATTAGTTTTTAAGCAAAATCTCACCAGTGCTGTGTTCCGGGGTGTTCTGAGTACCAACTTTCAAGATGAGCTTCAACCCCGGTGGCTTCTCTGACTCACCACCCTCTCTATCCTTAGATTTATGCTTCTTGTGCTTTTTCGATGGACACGGCGTCTCCATACCAGTAGAAATATCCATACCAAAACAAAACTACAGCCAATTTCCCCAACAAATCGATAACACTTGAGCGATAAAAAAAAACAACAACAAAAGTTTTGGGGTTATCACTTCTGTAAGTTTTGTTTACGTCCGATGGCGGCTACCGAACCGCGCAGAAGAGGGCGCTCCTCAAAAAAAAATGGCGCTAAATTTAAAAACCGCGAATTATGCAACCCAAACGCAACAGGATTCTAACCTCAAAGTAAAAATGTTGTTGTTTGCTGCGACGCTCGCATTGAGCAGATTAGAACGTTTATTTATAAAATTGTTTTGATAGTAGTTGCGCGATCACGAATACGTTCAAACTAAAGGTCGCGCAGTGTTGGTTATGTTTGTAATTTAAAGTTGCAATTGAAGTTTTAAACTAATTTATAACAAAGGTAAATCTTCATTTGGGATTGATCATTTAAAGTTTATCGAGAGAAATGTTTGAAGACAACATATGGAATCATCGAATTTATTTGTTTGTTATTGAACAGGCTAATTGTGTTTATCTGTATGCGGCCTGTTGGTCTAGGGGTATGATTTTCGCTTCGGGTGCGAGAGGTCCCGGGTTCAAATCCCGGACAGGCCCACGAGGATAATCTTTTTTATTTATATTTTCTTAATTATTGGATCGATTTTTTCAAAGACGGATTCAGTGAATTAATTAATAATAATTATATTTTGGCTTAAACCTATTAAAATATATCTCTGTGCATTCGCTATAGGATAATAAATTAGAACCTTCCGCTTCGTTTCCTTCCGGTATACTTCGAGTCCGCTCTGGTCTCTTTTTCTTGTCGCCTCATGCGCGCCTTCTTCATCAGAATCCATTCACGCGAATGCTTCAGAGGTTTACCTTTGTTCTTCCTCGCCTGCTCTTTTCTGGCTGCATACGATACACCTGGAATAATTTAATTGTAAATCATCGCCCGAATTAAGGAATACGCATTTCATGTACCTCGAGAATCTTGGTCTGTGCCCAAAGCTTGTGGTAACGGCATGCTACCACCTGTCATCAGAACTAGGAAGAACTTCTTGGCTTTAGCCGAATTGGGATAATCTACTACCACGCCTCCGTAGAATCCGGCTTTCATCGCTTGCGCTGTAACCAGTTCCATTTGCTCGCTGTTCTCCGGATAAAACTGGAAGACTGCTCTCGCCGAGCGACTCTACAAAAAAATCACGAAATTAATTAATTTTGCTCTTTCAGATGAAAACCGCGTTGTTTACGAGCGCGCGAAGATGCTTCAGTGCGAAGGTGATTCCGCCCATGAAGAAGGCGGTGATAGTTTCAACCTCCAACGACATCTTCACCAACTTGGCACTAGAGAATTGGTTCTACAAGCATCACAATTTCGAAGACAACCACATGCTCATGCTGTGGGTGAACGAACCTTGCGTCGTGATCGGAAGACACCAAAACCCTTGGTGCGAAGCGAACGTATCCAAACTGCAAGACTTAGGTATACAGTTGGCAAGGAGGAACAGCGGAGGAGGCACCGTCTACCACGACAGTGGCAACCTGAACTTAACATTCTTCACGCCGTTTGACCATTACAATAGGAAAACCAACCTGGAAATAATATCCGCAGCAATATACAAGAGATTCGGCCTGGACGTGGAGATCAACTCCAGAGAAGATCTCACCTTAAGAAATTACAAAGTAAGTTCAAGCAAGGATGGAAATAACGAAACACGCTACAATATTGATTTGCAGATTTCGGGAACCGCCTCGAAACTGGCGAGGACGTGCGCCTACCACCATTGCACGTTACTGGTGAACGCGAACGTCGATCATTTGCGGAAATCGCTCAAACCGTCCGACTGGGAGATCAAAACCAAAGCCACGAAATCGGTGAAATCGAAGATCATCAATTTATCCGAAGAAAACCCGGACGTAAATGTGGAAGAACTATTAAAGACTGTAGGAATTCGTTATTTGAACCACAACAATGCGGCGCTTTTGAAAGCTGATACCGTGCATAAAATGAGCAACGTTAACAGCGAATTCTCCATAGCGAATCCGTCGTACGTATCGAACGAAATCAACTTTGATAGCGGAAAGTTTCATTTGGTGACGCCCAACGAACAGAACTTTCCCGGTTTGGAAGAGATGCGCTCCGAGTTCGCGGATTGGCCTTGGATTTACGAGAGAACGCCGGAATTCACCGTGACGAAGAACTTCAAGATCGAAGCGAAACTTAAACCGGAGTCGACGCATTCACCGGGAATCGTGTTCACCCAGAGCAGGACTTACGTTTTCCAGGTGAACGTGAAGGTGGAGAAAGGACGAGTTTCCGAAATCAACATCCAAGTGCCCAACAACTACTCGGGCATGGATCTGAACGAGAAGCTGGACACGCTTAAAGACGCGAGAGGCGTCAAGTACAGCGATTACCTTCTGGACTTCATCGAGAGGATATTCCGCGAGGACGATACGGACGACATCGAGATGGAAAAGCAGACGGCGTTTAAACGCAGTTAAACCGAATCTCCTTTAGCTTCGTTCATAGTGAAATTATTAATAAACTTACCAAACAGGCGTAAAGACTGCTGAAGAACTTGTACATCCTCTGGACTGGTTTGTGTGATGTTTTATCCGCATTGCAGAGCCACTGCAACGCCGATATACTCACGGCACCATCAAAACTTCCAGCTCTGAAAGGTACACCTTGTCCCATATCAGTCAGAGCCAAATCACCCTCTATCTCTCTCTCCACAGCGACATCTGCAAACACATCAATTCCACTTAACCCTATATTAAATTTCAATCAATTAAACAAATACCCAACATCGCACTGGATATATCCATGCCGACCCAGTAATGACCCTGATCCTCCAAAACGCTCCCGCTCAACCCAGAACCACAACCAATGTCCAACAGATAACAGGGAGTATCATCAGGCAACAAGAGCAGCTCAACTGCTCGCTCACTCATTTTAACCTGGATATCGATGATCCGAGAACTGTAACCAAACAAAATGAATAAACAATTAAACAAAAACAATTGAAATATCTTACTTTTGGGTATATTTACGAGCCTCATCGTCGTTGTAAAACTGAAAAAGAGAAATTTTAGGTTACATTCGATAAAAACTAAAGAAACGTGAATTAACTCACTATTTCAGGTGGGGCTAAATGCTCTGGCCTAGACATCTTCTCCTTAAGTAACTACTTAAAAATTCGTTAAGTAAATCGGCATACAATTCGATGACAGTAACCAAAACAAACCCACGTGCGTCTACTTTCCAACAGGTGAACCAACTTCTAAAAGCTCAAGACTCCATCAATTACACCTTAAAAGTACTGAATTAATTCGAGAAACATCATTTTATGAATTAAATATTTCGTTTACTTTCCGAGTGTTAAGAAAAATATAAGAATTGCATAGTTTTTGAGCGATTCATTGTCGCAGTTGTGTTGTTTGCGTGAGGTTGGCATGGATTTAGTGGAAAACTCCTAGCGACCGATTCAAAATCCAACTGTTGATCGGCCATCCTCGTTAGTTTTTTTTTTCTGTTCTGTGTATCTTTGCGTGTGTGTGTTTTAGAGCGAGGGAAGAGAGAGCATAGGAAAACACAAAGTTTTTTTCAACGAACGAAAAGTGATAGTGAATGGAGGAGGATTTGGCGGTAGTCTGTGAGGTTATGCAACGGAAAAGCAATTGAATCGTGATTTGCTGCATGCGTTTTCAGCGACGTCGCTAAAATGTATGTGGAGGATCTGAAGAAGGATTTCTACGAGTTCCTGGCTGGAAAGGTAACGTCTTCGAACCGAATCATCAACATCTCTTCACCATTGAAAACGATTCATCAATTTCAACCCCTCTAGCATCGATTATTGAAGATCCTTGTTGTTTAACAAAAGGATTACAAAAAAAAAAAACGTTGTTTGTTGCTATGGTAGCAATGGCAGCCTTGATGTTTTGGGTCTATTGTAATGAGTTTGGTTTCCTGGTTGTCTAAATTATGATAATTGTAATTGTTATTAACTACTTGATCAAAAGTATTTTATAGATTCAGGCTTTGAGAGAAGAATACATTTATTTTTTTAAACATCACTTGAAAGTGTCAATATTTACAATTTTTATAATTTAATATCAACTGATATTTATTTTGATTTGAATCTACACTATAGTAATACATGTTAATTGCTCAACTTTAGAATTTAGAGGTTTTATCTAATACACCTGATTTGCTGACATTTACATTAGTGTTAATGATGAATTGCAAATTGTCTTTTTCTATGGTAATTCACAACTCTTGTTTTATCACGTAAAATGTAAATCTACAGGTGTTTTCATTCATATTGTCTCTTTTTTTTTTTCAGAGGATATTTTTGATGGTAAATTATGACATAGACAGTATATGCGCGTGCAAGATACTGCAGTCTCTGCTCAAGTACAAGCATGTGGTGTACACGTTGGTGGTGGTCAAGGGAATCGAAGACCTGAAGACCGCATTCAACGAGAACTGCGAAGATGTCAAATACTTCATAATGATCAACTGCGGCGGAACGATCGACATCGTCGATTTATTGGAGCCCGAGGATGAGATCACCTTCTATATCTTGGACTCGCATCGACCCACCGATCTGTGCAACATCTACAGCAACGGGCAGATCCGACTGCTGTGGAATCCGGAGGACGACTGCGAAGTACCGGATTTCCATTCAGTGTTCAGAGAGGATGAGGTAAGAAGTCTACACAGGAATTTATGTGTTTAATAGCCCGGCGCATCCACATTTATTTATTTAGTCTGATGAAGACGAGGAAGATGATGATGAAGATAGCGAGGAGGGCAGATCGAAGCGGCGGAGATTGGGCGAAGAGGCTATAATGGCGAGGAGGGAGAGGAGACTGTGGGAGGATAACAGGAACCGGATAATGTTTGAGTATTCCCAATTCACGTTTTACGGAAAAGCGGTAGGAAATCATCACTTAAATAGTGTAAACAAACAGCAATAGATTTTCAATTTTTTTTGCAGAGCGCGTTGTTGATGTTCGACTTGGCTTGGAAATTGAATAAGGACGATAAGGATTTGTTGTGGCTGGCCATCGTTTCCTTGACGGAGCAAATGGTTTTCGGAAAGATTGAAAACACGCAATACGTTCTGGAGACGGGAAACCTTCAAGCGCACGCCAACAGATTGCAAAACAGGTATATAAGAAATCGATAAAATTCATCTTGAAATATTTAACTTAACTTACATTTATTAACACAGGACCAATGACACGGATGTCCACACTTCGCTGAAAATCACATTCGAAAAGGACCTGAGGTTAATACTTTACAGACATTGGACCGTTGAGTCGAGCCTCAAGCATTCCATGTTCACCGCATGCAAATTACGTTTGTGGTCGTTGAAAGGCGACAAAAAGCTGAACCAACTTTTGGCCGATATGGGGTAAGTTTTTTTTTTGTAAACGTAAATTTACAGTTTAATTATTTAAACGTTTTTTGCAATTAAGGTTGCCGTTGGCGCAAAGCAAGCAGAGCTACCGCTCGATGGATCTCCAGCTGCGCCAGGAATTCCAAGGATCCATCGAGAAACTTTCGGAGAAGTACGATCTTGATGGGATAGTTTACGCATCGTTCACGCTCCAGTACGGGTACAGGAATAAATTTTGCGCATCGGACATCGTCTTCGCGATGTTAGCAATTTTGGAATCCGCTGTAAGTTTGATGTTTGTATAATTTGAATATATACTAATAATATTTTTTAGAGCAAGGATAAGAGGCCGGAGGAGTGCTTCCACTCGTCGCTCGAGTGTCTTTCGCGGAGCAAGAGCAATCTCCTGTACGCGGGAATCGATCGGGCCAAGACGATCACGGTGAAGCTGTTCAAGACCGTGCAGAGCGCGCTCGACATGAAGCACATCGTCTCCGCCGGGCCCTTCGTCTACTACATAGTGCAGGAAGGTTGTTTGGATTGGTACATGTACTCGCAGCAGCACATCCTATCGCTGCTCGCCCAATTCATCCTGCGCGCCTACGTCTCGATGTCCAAAAACCGGAGAGCCGCAAGTCTACCGTTGATCGTGTCCGCGCCGCACGACATCGAAACCGGAATGTGCATTGTCCTGGGGATTCCACCGCTCTGCGAGAACTCCCCGAAAAAGTAATTATCTTCATCAAAAATTTCCAAACAAAATAATAATAATAATTCACTTGAATCACTAGTTTCTTCGGAAAAGCCTTCGAGCAAGCGGCGGAGCGAACGAACTGTGATACTGGATGCGATTTCTTCGATACAGCTTGTAAGTTAATATTACTTTTTTAAACAACGAAATACTAAATTTTTCTTATTGTTGCAGATTTCAAATTACACACGAAACACCGGACGAGGTTCTTCGACGCATTAACCACATTGCTAAGTTAATCTTCGATACATTTTCCGGACAAGCAAAGAGTGAGAGTGAAACCGAAACGTGCCTCAATACTTCTTATATGCAGTTAAGCCTTTCGTATTTATTTATTGATGAACTTTTCTTCGCCTATACACACACCTACATGCTAAGCAAACAAAACAAAAAGTGCCAAAATCGCAAATAATATCACCACATTATTATCACGTTTAATTGTAAATAATTCCATTTGAAAACCACTCGATTTATCTTTTCTTTTTAACACTTAAGATCAATTTTGTTATATTAATTAGGCAATATTATTGGAAACAACGCGTCTGTGCGGTCTTTGAACGAATTATTATGTTATTTTTTTTAATTTGTTTTTAGGAAATCTTTGTAAATAGTTTCTTTTATATATACACATATAAATAAATTTTTTAAATTAGCCGAATTGAAACTAAATTTATTTTTTTATTACCAATAATATTAAATTTCCTTCTCTCTCTTCCAATTTGTGTTTTGTTTTGTTTTTTTGCATTGGAGAAGAGTACACAAGAGATCACATTACAAATCTAAGGTCACATGATTATTTAACTTTAATTATTATTATTTCACCATGGTTACAAAATATGCCAACGAATAAAAGAGAACGAATCTAAATCTGGAGGCGTCTCCGATCGTCGCTATAGAAACAAAATAACGGGATCACTGCTATCTAAGTGTACGGGTAAGTGCCACGCGGTACTTGTCAAGTGATTACTTGGACTAGTCGATCGGGAATCGTTCGACGTCGAAGTCTATGAACTTGCAGTCGTTGCTCTCGAATTTTGCGATGAACTCCTCGACGCTGGCCGTCGTCAACTCGCAGTGCGGATCCATCAGGAAGTATCGTCTGTTGGGGATGTCCAGGCCGACGAGCAGAGGAACCACTTCGTCGACGTTCACCAGGTCTCTGATCAGGTCGTCCGTGTCCGAATCGGTGCCGATGTAGAACTGAAGGCATTCCTCCTCGGTGTTCGGAAAGTCGATGTTGCGCTGCTTGTAATACGATTCCGCCACGGGCAGAAGAACTGATTCCGCGAATTGAATGTCCGCCTCCTCCGGATCTAAAACAACGCAAAATGAAAGTTACAATTATGAGATTTCTATAGCAACTGTCGTTGGGAACAGAAAAATGCATTTTCAGATATTGCTTTCAGTAACCATGGAGATAGGAAACTTACCAACTAACAATATGATAGTCAAGTACTCGTGCATTTTGCTCATGAAGAGCCGTTCCGTGACGGTGTTCACGAGCCGCGGTTTCCATGGAAAGTTCTTGATGAAACAAAGAGCAAACGAATAAAAAAAAGAAGAGAAGACATTTTCCAATAGTAACAAAGAGGGCTTTTTTGAAACAAAACGCACTTGTGCCTGAGGGTCTTCGACGAGTTCCGTGCGGGCGTCCATTGTTATCAGATGTCCGTTTCTGTCCAGCAGGAGGAGGGTGGGAATGCCACGGATCCCGTAGAATTGAGCCAATTCCGTCCTGATGCCGGACTGCTGGAAGGGAACGGCGAGCCAAGGCATGTGCTCGATGTAGTTCGAATAGGAATCTGCAGATCTAAGCAGAAAAACATGCATTGAAAAGTGGAAAATGAAAAGAAAAAACATGTACGATATAAAATGCAGAGTACATTTCAGACGCAGCCGAGCGCGGAATATAATTAAATTCGCAACTTGAACGCGCATTCATATTTAAATGTTTCCGTTTACTCTTACACACTCTGTAAGTGGATTCTTTATTGCTCTGTCGCGTCGACTAACGACGCGCGACTGCCGTAATTAAGAATTCCGCTCTGAGACATTAGCAAGCATATCGTTAAATTTCATAGAAAAAAATGATGAATGTTTCAAGTGAATTAAACAAATTATACCAATTTCAATTTTCCGCCAAGATCTGGATTCTAGAGGCGCATCCGATGGAAACTATAAATCTCAAGAGACTGCTTCTTGAACGTGTTACAGCGCGATCGGTGATTTGTTTCCCCCACAAAGTGCCAATAAATTTCTATACCAATCGCGATTGCCTTGTTACCAAAGACATTTTCATCTATTAGTTTATATTTAAATTAGTTGTAAATTTGACTAGAAGCTAGAGAGTTTAGTTATATTTGGAACATTTTCAGATTTTCTTATATTTCTTGAAATCCACAAGTAGAACATTCATCAATGAGTAATGTAATTAAAGCTAAATGTTTAAGCTTTAAAATTCATATTTGTAACTTTATTAGATTTTCTGTAATAAGCTCTCAAAGGTGAAGAAACAAATTATGAAACCTCGAAAAAAGCTGAGTCTTTACGTTTTCTTATATTTCCCAAAATCCACAAGTAGAACATTCATCAATGAGTAATGTAATTAAAGTTAAATGTTTAAGCTCTAAAACGTGTACAAATTCATATTTGTAACTTTATTAGCTTTTCTGCAATAAGCTATCAAAGTTGAAGAAACGAATTATAAAAACCTCAGAAAAAGCTGTGTCTTTACGTTTTCTTATATTTCTCAAAATCCACAAGTAGAACATTCATCAACAAGTAATGCAATTAAAGCTAAATGTTTAAGCTTTAAAACGTGTACAAATTCATATTTGTAACTTTATTAACTTTTCAGCAATAAGCTGTCAAAGTTGAAGAAACGAATTATGAAACCTTGAAAAAAGCAGTGTCTTTACGTTTTCTTATATTTCTCAAAATCCACAAGTAGAACATTTATCAATGAGTAATGTAATTAAAGCTAAATGTTTAAGCTTTAAAACGTGTACAAATTCATATTTGTAACTTTATTAGCTTTTCTGCAATAAGCTGTCAAAGTTAAAGAAACGAATTATGAAACCTTAGAAAAAGCAGTGTTTTTACGTTTTCTAATATTTCTTAAAATCCACAAGTAGAACATTCATCAATGAGCAATGTAATTAAAGCTAAATGTTCAAGCTTTAAAACGTGTACAAATTTATATTTGTAACTTTATTAGCTTTTCTGCAATAAGCTGTCAAAGTTGAAGAATCGAATTATAAAAACCTCGAAAAAAGCAATGTCTTTACGTTTTCTTATATTTCTCAAAATCCACAAGTAGAAC